GCCAGCAGGGCCTGAAGGGCACTGGGAACAGAGAGGGAATTTGCATTCCCTACGTGCTTTCTATAACCAACAAAACACAGCAGTGGCTTGCCTTGAATGCACATTTATAGAAGAAACCAGAGGACAGAGAAATATGAGATGTAAGAAAAAATAATGAAGACAAACAAAAAGAATGAGTCAGGTAGTGAGCAATAAAAGCAGAGGAGAGATGAAGAAAAGCTGGCATTGGTACAGAAGGATACAGCAGCAAAAACAAATGGTCAGGGACACTGGTCAGAGCTGAGTGGTTTGAGACAGCAGGTGAGGGAAGAGACAAACAGAAGGGAACAAGGCAGAATGTAAGCAAAAGGCAAGTAGTCCTCAACTTGTAGGTAAATTTTCTGCTCCAGAATTTGTCCCCCAAATCTCTACAACTTCCACAGTTTTTCTTCAGTTTTTAGCAAGCCGTTGTAAAAGCTACCAGTAAAACACAGATCTGATCTTTCTAGAGGAAATGACCTATTACCTTCTTCCTTCTATATGTTTTCTAGTAATTGTCCTCTGTGAACACAAAGGTCTCTTCTGAGAATCTTGGATCAGTTTCATGTAAGGACAGGTTCCTAGGGCTGCAGACTCAGACACACAAAGTGCTGCCTCACTGGACTAGAATTGTGTGTGAATGCCTTTGCACTCAGCTGTGATTGGAAATCACAGACTCTCCTGCTAATGAGTCCCCCTTGAGAGAGGTGCCACTGTCATTTGCCAGGTGTCATATATAGCACTAGAAACACAGAGAAGTTGGAAATCTCAGAGCAGCAAAATAGCAGTCATAGCATCTGTAGTTTGCACAGTGAATGCAAAATGAAGACAGCTCTTACATGGGCCTTTTTATATGTGCATATATACATAAACACAAAGTTATATAAATCATAGCCATTGTTAAAATTGAGGTCTTGGGATAACACTTAGGATTACCATTTCCTAGAACTATGAAAAGACAATAACAATTTCTCATACATATTCTTTATATATGAATACTACTCTCCAGCACAGTGCTATCTTGAGGTAACAGAATCCTAGCAACAGAACCTTCAGAAGCTTTATTGTAAAACTACCTGTCCGTATGACTATCATCAGCTTTCATCTGCCTAGCTTGATCATTAGACTGAAAGCCCTGCATGTAATGAAACAGTTCACATTACTCAGTCCATTTAGAAAAATAATCAAGAAATTCCATTTTTTCTCCTTTTCCTTTCTTCTTTTTTTGGTTTGTTTTGTTTTTTGTTTTTTTTTTGTTTGTTTGCTTTTTTTGGTAATTTGGTGTAATGGAAACATTCAGACATTTCATTTTATGGTGACAATGTAAAAATTCACAAACTTTTTGTTTTATGCCCCACATTATCCCAGACAGGAGAAGGTTCAACACTGCATGAGCAAACCACGTGACACAGACACAGTCAAATCACACGACAAATACGATCACCACAGGACAAAGCTAAGGGGCAACACAGAGGGCTCAGGTGCATACGGTTACCTCACACACTAAGGCACCAGACAGAGAACTCAAACTAAGAAAAGTGCTTACTCTATTCCCCACCCTGTGCCTCCAAAAATCACCCCCAAGGCCAGTATGGTCCCTGCCACTGCACCTATTAGCCTGTTAGCGGCCATGCTCACTGTGTGGAGGGAAAAGGGAAGAATTTTTCAGGAAATCATCGCACATATGTCTGAAATGAAAACATGAAATAATTCCTCAAAGGAATACTTTAGGATATAATTCACTGTTGGATAAACAATTCAAATCTCCTCACAAACCTTCGTTTACCAAATAACATAGCTTTAAAAACTGTGAAATGAGGTCTATTCAGTTTTCTTTGAATGCTTGCAAATATTTCAATGAAAAGTTTTCCTGTAAATTCCTTTCAGCTTGTGATTCTATTATTTACTCTAAAAGGGAACATCCTCAACCTACTGCTTTTTTAAAACAGCCAAAAGGTAAATAAATTGCCAATAAGAAAACTTCCTTTTTGATCACCAGAAACTTACTGTATCCACAGCATAATTAAGAAAATGAAAACATTGTTTGGAAACAATTCCACCTCAAAATAAAAAAAAAACAAAAACAATTTTTAAATCAATTCCTTTACTAATTAGTAATATTTTGGTTTTTTACTGCATTTATCAATAGGACTGTGTTTATCTATATGACCTAAAACCAGGTAACGCCTTTTAAAAGCAAAACCTACCCTAGAAACATGCTTCAGGTAACACCCTAGAGATTTTGATATGTTCGGATAGTCTCTCAAGACATTGAGGCCTAATTTTTAATCCTTAGGGGAATTCTTTTGAGGGAAAAATTCTGTACATCTCCTATGTTAGAAATTAAAAGTTTGATAGATTCATTGAGTCACAAGTCATAAGCAAGGAGCTGAATTCCCTGTCAAATGGGAACCTAGGGAAAAGATTTTATAGACTCCATGCTGAGTGAATTGTTTTAAAATATTTTGGGAATTTTTTTCCTGTTTCATAAATATACACACACAAACACACACACGCACACACTTGAGACATAAGTTCTATACTAAAATAAACACTACTCCACTAGTCAAATAAAGGCCTAATTCTGCAAATTAAACTGCAAAGAATAATCTCATGTGTAGATGGAGTTCCACTGACTTCAAAACTGCTAACCCACACTCTGAAGTAATTCAAAGTTTCTGCAGTAACCAAAAACAAACAGCAAGAACTCTTTGTGTTCCCCAAACTGCTAAATGCTGTGTACATCTGGTAGTACAGGATACAGTAGGTTGCTGAGTTTAGAGTAATTCAAGAGTCTTGTATTAATTAATAGCAACATAATAAAGGACCACAGATTTTTTATCCTGAAATAGAGAATGGAGCCAAACATCAATTGATGGATGATGGAAAAGTCTGAAAAGTACAGCAGAATAGCAGTCAATTGTCAATTATCATAATACATAAATAAATAGCAACAGTCCCTAACTATACATGTTCTAATTGTAACAAGAAAAATACTTGGAGTTTTAGTGTGAAAAATCATAAACCTATTAGATGAATTTTCACATCATGAGTGTTTCACTTCCTCCAACCTTATGGCCAAGGAAAAACAAGTATTTTGGTTTCTGTCTTAGACTTGTAAACTGGCTTATGCCATAGGGAATAATACGGGATAAAAACTTAATGGAAGCTATTCTTGGGTATGTTGGGTTGTTACGACAATGAAAAGTACTACTGTACTCTTCTGAAATCTTCTCACAAAGGAATTCCTCTATAAGCACACAGAAAGAGAACATAGTGTTCAGCCTCCTAAATTCACTTCTAGATGATTGAAAATTAGTAAATTACTGTAACACCATAAGAAAAATAATCTATCTTTTGAGATCATTGAGCCACCTTGAACAAAAGCACAGTCTGCCGTTTTGCAGAGGACTCCACTGAAAATGCAGTCTAAACTTTGCCTGTACCTGCTGGCAGAAATCCATGCACATACTATTAATTTAAGGCTTTTCTGCAGAATATTTCAATGTTCATGTATTAATTTTCACAAAGGTACATCCATTCTGAATTAGATGAGTAAATCTGACTTACAGTAATTTATCAAAGATAAGTGTACCTTCTGTGTTACCCTTCCTATAGACCTTTTCACAGAGGAGGGAATCATTTCTTACCTACCAGATTTGGAAATGAACAAAGTAAAATTCATGCGCTCACAGTGTCACAGCTGTAAATCCTTCTCTCCTCATCCACACACACAAAGAACTGAACAGCTCTGTAGTGTTGGTCTCCATAATTTATTCTTTTTTAAGACCATTTAAGCAGCATTCCACTGTCAGGAAGGTTTTCAGAGGAAACGGAACGATAAGTGGTTTGTAAGGCAGAGTACAAACCAGGCAGCTCTACACTGAACAGCGTTGGGATTGGGAGTCCAGAAAGCACCTGCACAGATTCCATATACAAATCTGGACTGGTCTATGGAGCCTCCATCACAACAGTAATTTGTTTCAAGATGATCTCTTCAAAACAGTTGTTGGCAAAGGTCTACTGGAACCATTCTGCTAAAGTGTAACAGAAAAAGGCACACAAGACAGACGTAGTGCAATTCCAGAGGGACATACCTAAATCCTGTCCTTCCTTGAAACCTTGGTACTTTTAGTGTCATCAGTTAGTCTGAGTCCTCAGGACTACATTTTTGAACAAGTCTTTTCTCTATCTGCCTTGCAAATGGAGCCAAAGAACCTGGAACTGGCAACTTTGTCTGTAAATGCATAAGACTGGATGAATATAGTCTGATGTAGAACAGTGCCCTGATGACAGGAAAGACATTAAAAACTGGACAGCACAAGTCTGAAGATATCCAGGTATTCTTTGGCAGAGGAGTCAAAGAGAAACTCAAATACTTTCCTTCCTCTTCGAAAAAACTTTTGTATTACTTTCTCAATACCTCCTCTTCTTTGTATTTGCACTTTATATGTACTTGAAATTTGTACCAAGTACATAAGAACAAGCAACACTGATTGTAAGAATAATTTAAGTTCTCAAAAATCTTTTTTTCTTGTATTGCAACATGATTTCAAGGAATCTGATTTTACCAGGGACATTCCACTTTTCCCTTTTTTGTGCCACTCTGAATTAGTTGACTAAGAAAACTGAAAATCTCTAGTAAAATATAAATATTCAATTATCATAAAAAAATAAGAGCTACACTAAGTCAGATTCCAATCACAACAAAAATGATCATTAAAAAATAGAGAATAAGGGACAAAGGAAAATCATTACCTGTTGAAATCTTCCCCAAATTTATATTAGAAAAGTAAAAGTTTTATCAGTTCTCAAAGTAGAAAAACCTACTTCCTCTACATGAAGCAGAATTTTACTCTCTGGGTCTACACACAGCTGTACAAAAGTATTTGCTTTTTATATACTAATTCTGCTACCATATATCAGCAGAAAAAACATCATAAATACTTAAAAGAACACAAAAACTGAAACAAAACACAAACCCTTGGGTCCTTCATCCTTCTTGCCACCAGTATCCCTGACAGGATCATCAATGCTGCAGTCTGTCCCAGCCCAGGAGAAATTACAAATGCAAGTGGCTTCATTACTACAAACCTGGAAAGAAAAATAAGTTACAGCAGTTACTTTTTAACTACCATTTTATTAGCATGTCACACTGCATTTATTTAACATGCAATTAGACATTTAATTAACGGTATAAAACTTACCTATTTATATATTGCAACAATAGCACTTACATAACACTCCTGGAAGTTTGCCTTAACCCTCCTAATACTCTCACACACTAGGAGAAGTAGTACTGGTTCTATCATCACTGGCACTACACACCTGCACAGGCTGTGAAAAATAACAGCAATTTAGCTAGACTAGTTAGATCTTCATCAGCCAGCTACCTGGACTTTGAGCCTGGATGCCCATATGGGATACAAACATTTGTCTTTGAAAAGGTTTAAGACCTCGTTACATTTTCCAACCTCTCCCATATAGCTTGCTGCCATGTAAAACAAAGTCGATACGTTTTCATTGGTTTTGTCAGCATTTTTCCTGAGCAGCAATAAGGAATGCTTGTCTGGCTTCTAAAAGAGAGGGAACAGTTCTTCCTAAGTTTACATTTAGCTGAATGACCTCTAAAAAAGGACTTAGCACTTTAAAATTGGCAGTATATTTATTAGATACAAAAAAACCCTATCCAGTGGACAAAACCTCAACCATCAAATCTATACTAAGAGTTAATAGCTATAAACTTTCCATATGAAAAAGAGCATGGAATGGTGTTGCTAGAAGAGGTTACTGTGGAAAAAAGCATGACACAAGAAACAGACAAAGAATGAAGTTTTGATTATAGAACTAGAAATTAAGTTAATCATTAGACAAACAGCTAATAATGTCTTTTGGACGCTGGAACATAATGTGAAAAAACCCAGGAAACAACCTACCCACAAATGATTCTAAGTAGCACATGTGATTTTTTAATTCAACTTTTATCATGCTCTGCTTTTAAGAAGCAGTCACTGGAGAATCTTACCTAAGAAGTTGAAGATAAACACATTTTATGGCAGGTTTGATCAACTGAAATACTCTTTTAAAATTAGGAATTGTAATAGTCCAAAACAGAACAGGTATGATAGTTCACTCACCCTTCATGACACTCGCAAAAAGTACCAAGATGGTTTCTAATCTCCTAGATACTTGACTTTCCAATTTTAAAATTTTTCTTCTTGATTTTGAACCTAACCCTCTACTTTGAAACATCCAATTTCATATTCAAGTATAGACAACAAGAAGAAATAAGACCTTTCTTGTACAAAGCCTAGCCCTTTAGGCAAGTGTTACTCTCACTGAATGCCACAGTGGAAAGGTTTTATTGGTATTTAAAATGGTGATCTGTTCATCAAAACAGACCTAACATCTTAGACAAATTATTTTATGGGTAGAATAACAGAACATAACATGCCTGAATGTAAAATGATACACTTTGGAGCTGTTCCAGAACTGTTTGGAGCTGTTCAAGAGCTCCCTCTCTGCTGAGGACCCACAGTTTGGAATTTTAATTATTTAAGCCATGGGCTATAAACCTATGAACACAAGACCAACTTTTATAAAGGTGCTAGTGTGCAGGAAAAGGTTTAATTGAAGATGGCAAGTAGCTTGAAATATGGGTAGTACATTACAGAAGTCCTTACAATAACTAATGTCAAAGGTCCTTCTTGCTACTAACAAAGCCAGCTCTTTGTATCTAATTGCAGAACCAGTTTGAGAACTTTTCTTTCTAAAATTGTTTTTAGGCATCGCAAAATGGCAGTCTTCCCCTGAATCCAACATTTGTGATCAAAAGGTCTCAGGAAGACTCTCAGGTTTTAGGACCAAGTAGAGCAGAGCAGAGAGAGCTGGGGAAGCTGAGCTGCTGATTCCCACTACAGACTCACCCCATGACCAGAACAGACTTTTCCATTGGAACCAATGGGACAGCTGCTTATGTTCAAGGACTGAATTGGCAGGCACTTTTTGTCCAGACACATCATCTGAGGTCCACATGGAGCTCCATCCTCCACATAACCTAAATCTGTATCATCATCTAAGAGAACATGAGCACCACTAGAAGAAATAAGTTTTAAGATAGTATTAGTATTATGACTGGAATCTTCTCAAAATATTAAAAGCATGTCAGTGTAGACACTAGAAGCCTCATACCTTTCTGTCATTTAAGCATTCAGATAGACTGAACAAACCCAGTTTTTCTGTCTGTCCACAGCAATGACAACGTGTTCCAGTTGTCAAAATAAAAATAAATCTAAATTAGGGCTAAAATACTCAAGAAAGGCACCTTAGGCTTTGGAGTTTTTGAAATCTCTGACAGACCACGCTTTTTTTCTTTTTTTTTTTTTCCCAAATGGTGTGAAATACTATTGCTAGAAAAAATACTAAAAAACTAACTTCCCATGTGATTTAAATAAAAACACTAGTGGAATAATGCGAGAATTAAGAATCACTGTTCACTCAGGACCCAACTATGTAAGAGGGCATTCTTAAGGTGACAGCAATGTTGTCAATGTCTTCCAAATACAAACCCCAGTATTGTGCACAGACCTAGTAGTGCAGCAGACTGAAACTCATTTACCTATTCTTTAACTGAACTGTAGCTGAACATCTTATCTTGCCACAACTCTGCAGTTTCCTTTCTCTCAGCCTTCACTTCACTACAGCTGCTTCTTTGAGTATTTAATACTCAAAGTCATTATATTTAAAATACTGGTCTTTGGCAATCACACTTTCTCCACCCCACAGAGAAACATAATGCTGAGCATAAAGCTCTGACTGTGAAGTTCTGCTATTAGAGGGATCAAGCAGAAGATTCAGGTGTGTAACCCATGTCTTACACTCTTTAAATGTGGAATATTACACTTTTCATAGTTTATGGATTTTTTATTTTTTTTTAAATCAAAAGAAATACCACTCAGAATAATGATTTTCCTGCAATTACCTAAAATTCACAGAAATTCACATTTATGTCTATCTTAATTGAAATGGTTTTGACAGAGATAAATCATGTTGGAATACTGCATTATCTTTTACCTGCAGTCCACTATGCGTCCTTGATGATAAAAAGAATTTGGGATAATTTCTCCTTGAACTTGACCAACTCGTGGAACTCTAGTAAGATTAGTACAGAGCAAAAAGCCACAGAAAACATCACTGGAAAATGAAAACATAAATTAAAATATTACTGGAATAATATGAGGTAAAGTTACAAAAAGCAAGTCTGGCAATGGTGCTGCTGATCACAGTAATATATTACCAGAAGCCACATGATAGACTTTCAGAGTGCAAGCCTGGAAATAAAATTTTATTTAAATGACAAGAGGCAGAGATAAGTCTTCGTTTATTCCAATGCACCAGTGAATGCTCACATGAGCACAGAATGTATCTGTGCTCTAAGAACAATCCAGTACAAGTAAGAGGAGCTAAACTGTAGAAAGCTTTGTCATGTTAGGCTGAATTGCTTTTCCCTCTCTCTGGCAGCTTACACACCCTACATTAATGTCAAGTTTGAAACTTTCATATCATTTTACTTCCCCTGCAGGACAACAGAACCATAACAATTTTTAGTGTGCAGTTGTGTGTGCCCAAGTTTTGGTAAAGAATCTACTTTTTTTAATGTCATTTTATATCTCCACATATTTAAATAGATATTTATATAACATATACAACATGTACTTTATATCTTCAATAGAAGGTTATCAGCTAATACTGATGGTCCTAAGTCACAGGACTTAGCAGCTGGATGAATGCTGGAAATTGACTTTGTTAAAAGTGAAAAAAACGGTAAATAGCCCTTCAGACAGATCACTGGCCTGCATCTCTCTACCAACAAAGGAAAGCTTTTATAGAAATTAGGGGTTTAACATACACACATTAGAACACATTATCCTCATCTAAATATTAAAAAATCCATGAAACAACTCCTTATGATTCTATCTGAAAACTAATAATAAAAAAGCCACTATACAAGCATCAAATATTCAAAGAAGGAAAACGCTATTCCAAAACTGAAATTTGTATGTACGTAATTAAAAATGACAAAACAGAAGTAAAGCAGGAGAAAATTTAAGTCTATCTACTAATCATCATTAACCTGAAAAGTGCATCTAATAAAATATTCATCTAGTAATGATCACATGGAAATGAATTAGGCCTTTTCCCTATAGAAGCCAAATGTCTAATGGTCCTCTCTGAAGGTTGGCACAAACTTGAATAATGTGGTGTCAGTCCCAGAGCAAGTGAACAGAGTGTGGGTTATTTGCAGCCTAATTTACCCCTGGCAAGGCAGAGGTTCTAATGTTATGAACTTGTGACTTTTTGCTGTCTCGTCCCTCAGCTACTCTGAAATAACTGAAGTCACAGTATATTTATCTGAAAATCTAGAATCCTTTACAAGCGTGTTGCTGAGTCACTCAGATTTATCAGAGTGCAGCTTTTTCTAATAGCAAACCTAATGAGGGAAAGAAGATTCAAAATAATGCAAAACAAGCTGCTGAAACATGCATGAAAAAGTAGTAGACAATATTAAACCATTATCAATCTATTTAAATTACAAATAATCTCTACCAAACTAAACTTACTGTTTGCTGCACTGAATCCATCGGTCTCCATCCTTCCCACAGTTTCCTTTTGTTGTGCCTTCTGTATTAAGCTTTTCATAACAAAATTTGTCAGATCCTGAAGACTCTGTTGATGAAAAAAAAAAGAAACATGCTTACCACTAGCAACATAACAGCTTTGAAACCTGCATAATTTATTGCAGCCATTCTCTGTATTTTTTAAATATGAAACATCAATTTAAATACAGATGTATGCACAAAGATGGTGTTTCCCAGTGACTAAAAGGAAGAACAGGCTAAACTGAAATACCTACTGACAGGTTCAAAATATGCTCTGACTTCTACAAGTAGCCTCCACATTGTCTGTATTGTATTCTGCATATGAAATTTATCTGTGTTCTGATTTTGCTCACAACAGTTGCACATAGATTTAATCTAGTTGTTTTTCACTGCAATTTTTCCTGATCTGCATTTCAGATTTTATATAGGACATTTACGATAAGCATATGTTCTGACATCAACTCAATGTTGATTTTATCCTATTTTTCAGATGTTCACAGGAAACCAAGCTTGAACAAAGCATAATTTTTACTTATTTTTAGGAGTAAAATTCTGAACTAATAGGTTTTAAACCCATAATTATTTACTGATGAGCTCATTTGTTTTTTCTAAAAATGAATCTAAAGAAAAAAATAGAAAAGCACAACAATTATATAGAGGAAGATAAAATAATAAGACAGAGTGGCCTCAGTGGCAGTTATGATTAGACAAAGTGCACAAGAACACGCTAAATGCCAGAGCACAGGATGTCCTGCTAGTTCTACTCTGCTGAATTGTCTCAAAGTCATTACATAGAACATTCAGCCCCTCTCTGCTGCAAGCCAAGGCCACTGCAATTGCAATTCTATTTAACTCAATACATCTGGACTTAAATCCATACTGTGCATATTTAAGTTCACACCAATGTACTAATTTTCCAGACTTGGAGGATGGTATAGGAAGGAGAGGTAAGATGGAGCAGCTTTGGCATGAACCACTGATGGGATAATGGAACTGGTGATTGTCATTAAAAAAAACCCCAAAACATCTGTTTTTGAACTATACCCAAAAAAATCTTCAACCCCCTCCCCCCAGCAGCATTTTCTGCCCTACACATCACACCAGAACACTCTCATTGACACCACTCCCAGTTGCAGAATTCCACTTGACAATCAAGCCATTCGCCCACTACAGTCTACTCACTCTACTGATCAGAAAACTTAAACTTGGAGTGACAAGAACAAAAACCAAAAATACGACAAATCCAAAGTAAAGGCAGGAATGAACAAGAAATAAAATACATTTAAGGTAGTTAAAGTAAACCTACTAGATCCCCAGATATATTTGCACTGATTATCTCTTGTCTTGCATTCACCATTATAGCAACGACCCTAAACAAAACACAACATGTTAGGAATGAGAACTGAAAACAACTTCATCTCTTTCCCCTCCCACAACAAATGTCTCATTTTCATTCTTCACACATGTGTTGGGATGCAGATTCCATGAACTAGGTAAATGAAGCACAAATTTTGGCCCAGAATCACAAAGCCAATTTGTGTCCAATACACACTGACATTTAAAGAGTTGCTTTATACTTTTACATAGTTGTAAAGAACTTATTAACATGAAGCATGGTAAAATATCTACATATAAAAAAGGCAGAGATACCAAGTGGATTTCACTCATAATAAAAATTATTACTATGCACATAGAGTGCATAAAGCACAAACAACACTGATGTTTAAAGGATAAAATTTATGAAGAAATATGGAATACAAGATTTTAAAAAATCAATGCTAAAGCAAAACAAGAATGTGTTGATTTCTGTTTGCTGATGGACAGGGGTTTTAAAACATTGCATACCTGATTAGAATCACAGGCATACCCATCTTGTTTATGAAGATTTGGTGGACACTGAAAAAAATTAAGAATATTCTTAGTCATGCATACTGCAATAATACATCAGATTATCACATATGGAATTTTCCTGCTTTTAAGAAAATTGTACAACATATAGAGGTTGAAAACATAATTAATGCAATAATCTTTATAGCTACAAAGAGAAATGAAAAAAATTAATGTCTTGAGCCATGAAATACAAGGTTCAAGTATAACTTCCTGAATATTCCTAGGAGTGGTGAAGGAGGTGGGCCGAAATGAAAGCCAATGTGTTCAGGAAAAGGATATTTGGCAGCTAATGCTGGGGACATTTTTGCAACACTACCACCACATGCATTCCAGTTCCACTACAACAGTGAGGGGAGCACCTGGTCACAGCCTACCAATCTATTGCTTCCAGAGTTTCAGGGGGTTTAATGATGTTAATTGTTATGTTCCCTTGGCACTGGAAATTCTTTCGTACAAGCAAGTCACTAGGTCCATCCAGAAGCCTCAGACTACTAAGATAAGGACTTATTTTAAACCATTCTTAGGTTTTTCCTCATCTCAAAGGGACCTGTGAAAATTTGGAAAGAGTATGCTGCTGCACTGGGCTGTGTTAGCCAATACTCTGAGAGCAGCTTGAGAAAGCCCTTCTCTCTCTCCTTGAGAATGATACATCCACAGAGCAAAAGATTTATAATAAAATATTGGCAATAGCTACTTGTCTATAGAATTGACATTATATATATATATATATATGTAAAGAGAATAAACATATAAGCATTCAATACTGAAAATGTTGAAAAGGAAGTATATTGAAAAGGAGTATATGTCATCTAAAGCATCAAAGTTGCTGTGAAAATGGAAAATGTACAGAATGTTGACTATTTATAAGAACTCAAATAGGTGCAACATTTTGTTTGCTGTTTATTCCTCTATTTTTCAGTATATTAGCCAAATGTTTTCAGGACAAATGTGTAAGATCCACAACTTTTAAAGTTCTCATACATGTGCACACTCTTAGAAAACATAACACACTACACAAGTCCTACAAGGGGTAATTGAGGGATCTGAGATTGTTTAGCCTGGACAAGAGGAAGTTCAGAGGTGACCTTCTCACCCTCTACAACTCCCTGAAAGGAGCTTGTAGAGACAGAGGTCAGCCTCTTCTGCTCAAGTAACAAATGAATGATGAGAGGAAATGGCCTTAAGTTGTGCTGTTCTTATTATTTAAGTTATAGACCAGGCAAAGAGTAAGGAAGGATGCTTGACACAAATATACACAAAACCCCAAGAGTTATAAAATACAAATAAACCTAGAGAAGTCAACTTTTGAGTCCACTTAGATTATTGTTTCATGAGTTTACACTTCATAATTACATCATCATTTTGGGCATATGACTGTGCAGTTTGTTAATAAAAATTTTCCTGTTAAATGAATACAAAAAAAAGACTTCAAACAAATATTAGCAATGCAAGCAGAGAACATTTCTGCACACATACCTGTCCAGAATCCCCAGTGCAGAACTCTGCAATGTCACACTCATTCACTGCGTATCGACAGTCATAACCTCGTGGGAAAAACTAGAAAATAATAAACATTTCAGCATTAGAAATACATCTACATAAGCTGCTCCTTTTCCTTCTACCTAAAACACACTTTGAACTTTAACAGGCTACACATAACTGCCAAGGACAACTGAAAAGAACAATTGATTTGTGGCAGCAACACTCACGAGACATGATGTATTACAGCAGGGTCCATCACTACAATGAGCTCCATTGGAAAGAGAGCATTTCTTACAGCAGTCTGCATAGCATTCCTGAAAAAAAAAAAATTAAGCAAAAAGTTTAGTTTTCCATTTTAAGCACTTTTTTTTTTTCCTCACAATCTTTCCAACAACAAACTATTATGTACCAGCAGACAAAAGATTCAGTTTAGCACTGTTGATTTGAAATTAGTAGCTGGAAGAAGCCTTTGCAATACTCAAATATTAAAGGGACAACAGTGACATACAATGCTATAGCAACACAGGGATTCACATTTTCTGAAGCCTATCCCAAATTTATGCTACTTTGTTCAATAATATTCAATGCAGAAAAAAAACCCTCAACCTAATTCCAGGTGCAATTATATTTAAATACTAGAAAATGAGGACTCAAATCTAGAGAGCAGATTTTTGCAAAAAACATTATTGGAGTATTTCTGCAATAGAGAAGAAAACAACAGTTTACTTGTTCTGTCTGAACACAGGCACTGGTCTCCAAAGTAACAGTAAGGAGTCTCCCACTCCAGATATGCTATCCAGGAAAAGCAAAGGGGTAAGCACTTCTCCAGTGCAACTCAAACATTGCTGGGAAACAGCTGTATCTTGTCACTGGTGTAACAGGAACTGTTCAGAGGACCCTGTCTTTGCACTCACTGTCATTTGAAAAAGTGTTTTAAACACAGGCCTTTAACAAAATTGTTCCCAAACAACAGGCAAAACAAATTCATTTCCATAACCTTTCCCCCATCTCTTACCAATCAATTTATCTTAATAAATTTTGTCAGGAAGACTTGTAGTGTAATACATAACCTCTACTTACCATTCGGAAACCGCAATCACATTCTTCTCCTGCTTCTACATATCCATTTCCACACTCAGTGACTTCAAAGAGCTGAAAGAAAAAAGCCCCCAACCCCAAAGTAAGAATAAAACTAGTGTCAAGTGACCTCTTTGTCACACACAACCCACGTCTGCAATGCTATATTATATAAATGTGCTGTCCCAGACAATGTAGGTGCCATTCCTTGGTGACAGAAAGGCAATGTGGTTTTCAAGTGCTTCTCATCAGAATTTTTCAGACATGAAAGGCATACAGCTAAATCACAGGAATGCTGGTCCTCTTTAGGAGTATACTGATCTCAGAAAACCATAATAAATAGAGAGACACTGCAATAATATTTAAGGGGATGACATTGGAACTTCATTCCTGCTCCATGGACTCCCAGTTTTCTGGTAATTCCTTCAAAAAACCAGTCCAAAATATCATTCTTGGGATTTGTGCAAGTACCCACACTTGCTTTCTGCAATGATCTACTGTCTGTTCCTGTGCAATATTTGTGCATGAAAATAATAAATAGAAAGAAATACTGCCAAAAAGGAAGTCCTGTGTGCCTTACTACTAAGTTATACACAACCACATACAGATACAGTATTAAACAGCTAATCCTGGAACCAAATACATAAAATGCAAATAAATTCTGCAGTTCAGGGTGATGCAGATTCTATAGTGGTTTCACATATCATAATTTTGATTAAAGATACTTTTCAGTCCTGCCACAGAAATAATTTTGAAAGAAGCTCATCTGTTTTCAATATAATTCTGCTTTAAAAAGCATATAAGAATATCAGGAATCTCCAGTTTAATGTTAGAAGTTAACAAGTTAAAATGTGAACAGATGAAAGATGTGAGTAAACCTTTCTGCATGGGCTTAGTGGAAATAAAGCTGTGGAGAATCATCAAGATATGAAACAACATGTAATACAACACAAATGAAATCAGATTTTTATTCTGTCAAATTGACTCAAATTGACAACTATCACTAAAAGCTGAAGTTCTGTTTTTCTATTTCTATACTTACTCCTTTGTGTAAGAATTCTTGCATTCTTATTCTATAAGCAAAGATTGCTACCCTGGGAAAAGATACAAAACCACTCAAGCAAGCAAAATTTTTTTTAGTTAATTGTGCAAGGTGATGGTCCACCAAAGGGTATAGCACAGTAAACAGAACAACCTAATAGCCTTGTGTGGTATTAAATTCTACAAGGACAGCAGTTTGACACTATGATTAAATAGAATATTAATGCTTTGGATTGCTCTTACTTGGCAAAAAGAGCCACATGGAATATTTTTATACTGCTCAGCTTTAGAGGGATGTCAGACTAACATTGTCTTAGAAAATTTATGACCTTGGTAAGTCTTTAGGCAAAAAGGCAATGGCACAAGGAAACCTAGGGTTTCTAGGTACTAGGTGGTACTATGTACTAGGAAACCTAGCTATGAAAGATAGAGCGTGCTAGACGTACATTTGAAATGAAATGAAGCTAACGCTGAGAATAACCAAAAGTTACTGCTGTCTACATGAAATCAGCCATGGATTTCTATTTCCTAATGTGGTAACTGGCATTCCTTTTAAACAGCCTCAGACACAAAGTCCAAAAACTGAGTGTAGGTGGAGCATACACTATGACCTCACTTCTGGATTTATTTTGCACTATTCCAGCTTAATAAGTAATGCATTTATGCCAAAAGTGATATTTATCATTATTTGATTATTAAGCACTATGGAAAACAAGTTGCATTTATCTCAATATTATTTTTAAATGCTATTTAAAACATTACAGCTAATTACAACCTCAAGAAAATACCCACATAGATATCTAAATAAATCTGGGAACAGATGATGTCAGTGAAATTATAACATTTTCGTTACAATGTGTAGCAGGTGTCCTGACTACCAACTTATTTATTACCTTTGTTGGCCTGTTAAAAAGACAGGCACCTCCCCCACGAAGTAAAAATTCTTTGTATTCTGCAATGCTGCATTTGGAGAATTTCCTGGAATGGTATACCCTAAAATGGCAAAGAATTAGGTGAGTAAACACCTTGAAATACCACCACCTACTGGAAAGGGGCAAAGGGGCCAAAATATTTTTTAAATACTGTAAATCCCAGTTTCTTACAACCACTGTGTGCAACAATATGACAACTGAGTCTTATTCTCAAACAACAAAATCAAAACAAAAGAAAAATTTTAAAACATTTTGCTTTTTTTATATTTCTACTTTATGAATGTACAGTATAAAACTAGCTTTTAAACTATTCACCCTTTCTATTGCATGCATAATCCAGTATCCTCTAAGGTTTGAAAATGCTACAGCAAGAAGTTTCACAGCTTAATACGGACTGGCAGACAAACAATTTCATCCCATTTTGTTCTGTCTTATTTGCTAATCTCATTGCATGTCTCCCTAGTTCTTATACTGGAAGAAAGAGTAATCATTTGTTCATGATGTTACAGATTTCTCTCATATTTCTTCAACTCAATCATTTCCCCAAACTACTGAAAATGTAGTTTATTAGTAATTTCTCACTCAGAAATTGTCTGATATGTTTATTAGTCATGTTTTGAGATCTGGGAATGAGATCTATTCACACTATTAAAGATTCAGGTAACCATGCCATAAAGAAGGTTCTCCATTCCTTTCTTAATAGCTCACTGCTGCTAAGCTATTTCCCCACTGAATTATTCCATATAGAAAAATTGTCTCCTGACACTGAGGGACTTAAGTTAAAAGGCTTTAACATGCAGCTAATTATTCACTCATTTCATCAGTCAGTCCTTTTTCAGCTTCTACATGACCATCCTCTGCTCCTGGCTTTTGTTTACTGTTAACCTTTTCTACAAAACAGGCTTATTCCACAGCCTCTTCTTCTGATACTTCTACCCAAGACCAATACTTTGATGAGTTCACCATAGGAAGGAAGCCAGTATTTATTCTGATCGATGCCTTACCTCAGATTCCGGAAGCAAATTTATGCAATGATTTTCTGCTGCATTCATACTGTGGCTGACAATTACAAGTGGGAAGCCACAAAGTAACTCTACTGAAGAGACAATTTCCAAATACCGTACAAAGAAACTTAGCTCCTTCTGTCTTATTTATAACTAATTTTCTCTGTGATTTTTGCAATAAAGCTTCCACAGTGAGAAAGATACTGACAGGAAGTGATTTATAAGACTCAAACCTCTGTATTTCAGAAGTTATCCTTTTCTAATCAATTGCTTACAGTATAGCGAAACAAATCTTTGGTAGTGTGTGAGGGTAGAGGGCAATGAAATTCCTCCCATATAGGTGTGCTTCCCCTTCAGACTTCACTGACCATTTACTTACCTAAGGATTGAGTTCCAACTGTTTCTAGTTTATTGTTTATTAACACTAAAACACATGGATAAAACTCAATGCATAAATATTTCTGTCATAATGTAAACTATGAACTCATTCCAGAGTCCTCAATTACTGATATGTATGACATACCCTGTTTCCTCCATGATGCAACCACCCCAGGATTCAGTGCAGTCACACTCTTCTCAGACAAGACCAAAATACAACACAGAAGGAGAGAAGTTATAAATATGCTTACAATAAATATTAAGTACTCACTATAAAAATGGAGCTTGACTAATTATACAAAGATTTGATGGTTGCTTGGCTGTACAACTCTAGCCCCAAAAAGGAAACCAGCCCACTTGAAGACATACTAATGCATTAAATAAATATGGTACTTTCAGATTACCATATCTGCAGGTTCTTAAGACTCAACACAAAACTTCAGGCATTACACAAAACTAAAAATAGTTGGCAAGGTTCTTCTCTATATGCTCTCAAAACAGGCAGCACAAGGCTGTGTTCAGTACACATAATATTGATGATTTTAAATATTCACATTTTCTCATCCCTAAAAATACAGAATACCCTGAAAGAGGATTGTTACTGGACAGGCCAGGTTTTTTCCCTTTGGCATAAAATTATTAACAGTAATATGTGAATCAGCCAATGAAACATTCATTTGAAAAAGTAGTTGAATGAAAATGGATTTACAGTTTACTTACAGCTATAGCATGTAAGTCAACAGTGACCAAATTCATAACATAAAAACAAAAGATCAGCACCTTATACAGTTGGTAAAACAAGCTGCAAACTACTCATCAAAATGATCTACCAAAGATAGATGTACTCTAGTTTCTACTGGAAATCCAGAGTTTCTCTATGGAAAATATTCAGAGATTATTTTTATGGTTATTTCTACACTCCCCAGGTCTTTCGTTAATCTATCTCTATAAAGGACATCCAAACAAGGGCATTAAGCTGTCACATCAGAAACCTCTATCTTTCAGTTAAAAAATATTCTGATTTCCAAATTGTTTGAACTCAGTTCTACCTGTAACCAAAAAACAATGATATAGAAAATATTTTAGCAATTTGTAAGTTTACACAATTCAAAAGCAATGCTTTACAAAACAATATTCCTACTCATGGTTTCCTAACTCACAGATTTTTGAAGTGATTCTGCAATAAAGTCAATATTATCATTCAGGTTTTTAAAGAGGAAACAAAGAGAAAAGGTAGCCAAGCTGCTTACAAAACTCAAGTGAAAAACCAAACAATTTTCTTTAGTCCTGAAAAGGGCTTTGCAGCAGTTTTTGTAACAACATTCTATATGTGTTAAAGCTACACAAATCTGGTCTGGCCATGAATCAGCAAGGTAACAAGTTGAGCAGATGTCACACTGGACTAGGTTACAACTCCATACCATTTCTTCAATTTTAAATCATGTATTTTTGCATTTTAAGAAGTCAGTGATTGTTCTATTGGACATACAGATTTCATTATGAGAGAAAAGGAATTCTAAATTAAATTAATGCTGTTTTTACTAATATACCTTTGAATTTTTGTGATGAATCTAACTTCTCGACACAGGACATCACTGAGGTCATGCAAAATGTCGCTAACCTGGCAGCTCTTATTTTGGTGAAGCTGAAATTTCACTACATATATTTTCAAAAGCAGCAATTCTTATTCTACAGTTACAGCCATTTTGGCATTTCTTTCAAACACAATAAAGGAAGTGTTTATGTATTTAGCTAAGGAAGACAAAAGACACCATGTACATACTCGGTTTCCTGGCAGCTGGCTCCCATTGTATTCCAAGATTCTGAGCAAGACTCTGTGCTAGTTCCTGGGCCATGGGCAAAGGGAGGCCATACTGCATTCCAAGAGGAGCACAATTATAAAAAACCAAAAACCCATTAGTTATTGCAATGAACACTACACTGGCTCATCCTGGCTTACCATTGACTTCAATAATTCAGTGCAGTCAATCACAGTTCTGTGTGTATATAAGGAAAATAAACTCAATAAGGTACGTAACAGATAAAATATTCCTCTCCTAATCTCAGGCAATCTCTCCCCACTGGTTAAACTAAAGAATGAAGTCTATTTGATATATATGCAATACAGTTCTGTAGTAGTAGGATTTAACCCATGTAAAAACAGGAGAATTTCATTATCAATTTTACACTACACTGAGTAAAAAAAAAAACAACAGTGAAAAATCACAGAGACAATTTGTTTTCTAATTTCAATGTTTAAAAATTTCAGGAAGAATTATATGCCATTGGTACCTCCGAAGATCAAGTGTCTTACAGTGGTAAGACAAAGATATTCACTGCTGTATTTCAAATACTCCTGTCTGAGATTTTTGAGTCTAAATTTCTCTCAAATATAATAAGAGCAAATTTAAGTTCTTTTTAAGAGAATAATGCAGACAGGAGAAATATTTGCTAAAAAGAAAACTTTCTGAGCAGTAGTATGATGATGATCAAAAAAGGCTGTGAGAATCCTAACTTTTTAATAGCAAGTTATCTTTAAAGCCCTCAAAACTGAAACATACAAACTCTTGAGATTATAATGTAGAGATTCTACTTTATTTCACTTTAGTCATGAAAAAAAAAATTACCTCATTCACTCCTACTCCTCTGGCCACAGAGCAAACACCTCCAAAGTAACTTAAGCTGCTCCTTTTGTAATGAAATGTCACATTCCTTACAAACAAATAAAAACGAAGAAACTATAACACATTGACATTGAGCACCAACAGCTTATTGAAAGACCATACTCTCACGCTACTATGATAGATTTCATGTACATTCTTCTGCTTCTAGCATAAAAACCAACTGCAAGTTTACAAACAGAACAACACTGAAAGAGGTGGTTTATATAAGCTTTCACAAAAATATGATTTTTTCTCTTGAAGTGTCAGAATCAGTCTTAACCCACAAACAAAACAAGCACAGAAAACTTAAGTGCCAGATCCCTAAGACAATACAGTGATAACATTTCTTTTAAAAGTTAACAATATATTCAAATTTATGATCTGTCAGGAAGGAATTCTGTTCTGACATGTACCAGTACTGAGAACTTTTTAAATTATTATCTTAATCCAAACCAATTTAAGCTCTAGTTTCAAATCCAAATGAAAAGACTGAGAAGTATACCTAAAGGGAAAGTAATTTAATACTGCTCTTCAATCTTGTCTCCTTTCATTTATTGTTAATAAGCCCCAAATAATTTAGTTAAATGATGTCATCTGGAAGACCTAAATTATTCAATACAATGCCTATAAATTACTATGAATGACACCTATTTTAACTTCATCATCATAACAGGCCTACAAACAACCTACAGTGACACTGCATGATGTATGAATGACCTAATCTCTGAAAATTAATGTTGGTTTGGTTTTTTTTTGAATGACCTGTATGTACCCCATACAGATATGTATTTATTTTTCAGAACATTCTAACAGCCATCAGAACTTTCAGACTGCACCTTAACTAAACACTAATAGCCAGGGGCTTTACGACAGACAGGACTGTAGTAAGGGCTGAGCCTGACAGGTACTTCTGGAAATGTTCTAGTTCATCTCCCCCCAGCTTCAAGGAGGCTCAGCTGGAGCATGCCATGTTTCATTAGCTTTGGAAAATCTCCAAGCATGGGCACTCCATAGTCCCTCTGTGCAGCCTGTTCCAGCATCTGACCACCTTCACAGTGAAAGAGGTTTTTTTTCCCCTATGTTTAAACGGAATTTCTTGTATTTCAGGTTGGATTTGATACATTTCACCATGGGAAGAGCCTGATGCTGGCAAACTCTTCAGCAGGTGACACAAAACATGCATGGAAGTCACTAAGAGTGCATGTAAGCAGCACTGTGCCTGTATTATGAAGAGCAAAATCAGCATTGTATTGCAATGCCTGTATTAAGGAAATCTGGAGGAAATTCTTCATCCACTATTTTTATCTTCTTCTGCAGAAGATGAACTACAGGACAATCCCATGGAAGACTTTAGTTACTCCACCCTTACAGTATGTCATGCTGCTGGGAGATAGCTTAAGATCTTTATGCTGCACAGCAGAACACACATTTCCTCCTCTTTCCTTACAATGCCATGAAGTAAAATAATCTTTGCTCAAGGCTGAAATCATGCCTAGTGATGCAAGTGGAATTTCCCCTCAATATGCCTTGTGTCTAATGGAGAAAACCTTCCATTAACAAATCATCACTGCAGCTACATGTGTGAATAAATTTACTAACTGGAACACTGTTGTGGCAACATATAATCCTGCCAGCTCTGCCCTCTCCTGATCATAACTGGAAAAGCAGCATATTACACATGTGATTAGCAAAGCTAAGTGTCCTTAAGGACTCATCAAAAGACACTTCCCATGTGACACTGTCCCTAGGTTGCAAAGACATTCAAATATCATTATAGATATATATCAACATGACCATGGTATATACTCCACCTATTAAAAATGGGTACTAAATATCAATCAAGCTTCCTAAGGAAGGCAGATGCTGATTGATACAGAGAATCTCAAGCAAAAAAAAGGAAGAAAGAAGAGACAAGTAGAGAAAGGCAGTAGTCAGGAAATAACACTCTAAGCCACTGCCAAGGGTACATACGAGAGCAGGTGCACAGCATCAGCATGCTGCTTGATGTAGTGCTGCCGGTACTTGGAGAAATCGTGGAGCATCTGCAGAGGGTCAGGGTGAATATTAATGCGATCTCTGTCTGTCCAAGTCTCCACAGCAACGAGAACCACCCTGGTGTTCAGCTGTTCTTTGTATATCTGAGGGCAGAGACAGGACAGGCACAGGAGTAGAACACTGGGTCAAACGTGCACAGTTAGCCAGTAAGAATAAAGCGGAAGGACAAGAGGGATAAAGCAGGAGGAAAACATGGGGAAACAGTTAGCTGGTAATGCCTTGCTTTTCCTAAAAGCTGATATTCTGATCAACTTAAATTTTATGTTTTAGAAGGAAAAACACAACCCTTGTTGCTCTTTTTTCTTTTTTTTTTTTTTTGAGCTACTCCATTTTCTTTAAAATTCTCATGGCAAATAACTTTGCCACTGAGTTCTGCAGAAAACCTGTGCAAAAATCAGGAAAGAAGAAATGTAAAGGTACACTGGGTGATCTTAAAGAAAAAGACAAGTGACCTCAAAGAGTAGCCAAAGACAATTTTAAAGTTGAGATTAAATAATTTCTCAGTTTTCCAATAAATCTGAATTTTAATTAATGCTTGATTACCATTTATATAGTATGATCACTTAATTTTCACATTGCTTTCATGGAATTAAGGAAAAATATTGATTTTTCTATAAATTTTCTGTAGCAATACACAAGGAAACAACAATCATATATATATATAAATGAGATAGGGATCAACTAAACTCAGTTTTGTCCAAGACCTTTGAAGGAAAAGAGTATTAGCATGCTTCCGTCTCGAGGAGATAGGCTAAGAATATACACAGAAAATTATATTTATAACATGAGAAAACACAATGAAATTAAACTGCCTGAAATGACATGGGATGGGTCAATAAAGATTTTACTTCTGTTTGCTGAGAGAAAAACCTCTATTTCCTGAAGCAAACAGCAACAAAAGAATGGAAGAGGGAGCAGAGAACCTGAAGGTTCTCTGAAAGCCAATATGCTTTTCCCAACAAAAAATCCCTAAGAAATACAGCCCACACCCTATGGACACAAGGGAATAACAAGGCAGAAAATCCTGCTCTTTTTCATGCTTTACTTAAAGAAAAAGCCACTAAGATGTCATTTTGTAAGATCTCTATGAAGGGACTGAATTCTACACAAGAATTAAGCTTGATGTTTCTGCATACACACAGATAAAAATGGAAAAAACAGACATAATAGAGAAAGAAAATATGGATGAAATAACTTCTGTTAAAATGCAGAAGAAAGAGAAAGAAATAATTATCAGATGAGGAAAAAAAAGATGCCACCTTTTCTTTGGGTCTGTCTAACATAAATTGCAAAAATATTACAATTATTTACATTTTTATCTTCCCTAGTAACTTTTCTTTAGGCAATTGGCATTTTCAGATCATTACAGAAAAATATTCCAAAACATTTCTAGTATTTCATGTAATTTAAATATATACACCTAAATTTTCAATATATATCCAGTATACTTTATGGGTAAGAGCAAATACTGCATTGTTTCTTCTGAGCCAAACAAACTGTTGACAATGTTTTGCAATGAATCATATCACACAGTTCCACTGGTATCAATAACGTCACATGGAAAAGGGACTCAGAGTCAGCATTTGGTAGCCTTTGTAATCATTCCTACTAGAAAATCTACCTGTTTTCACTACAGACAGAACCTGAAACATGTGTGATCATTATATGCGTATCAAAAAGAGGAAAATAAACACCAAATTAATTTTACTACAAATATTACTTTTATTTTATTTGCTGTATGCAAAATTGTTTTAAATTTAGCACAGATACAAGTATGGTATCTCAGTCAGTTCACCCATGTGTAATGTACTACAGTGGCATATTGTTTGTTTTTAAGCTATAAATAGAGATTTATAAAGCAGATTTTTTTTACTCACTTTTCCTCCCAATAGATATATGTATCTCTTACAAGCTATACTTGCAGTTTCAATCACTTGTAGTTAGATTCCTTTCACAAATCTAAATTTGATTAAATCTCATTCTTAATTGGTGACAGATACTGAAATCACCCCTGCCAAGGGCAAACTCTGACAGTTGCAAGCTTTAAGAAAAATGCCACAGATAATCTGGAAGTTTTTTATACATTCATCCCAGGCTATTCTTTTGCAGAGGAACTAGAAGTGCACTTTAATGCGCAATTGAAATTTGGTATCTGAAAATAATAACATTTTTAATGCAGTGCTGAAGTAGAAGTTAGTGAATCAGTTTTCAGAAGAAACATTGATACTTACAGCATCTACAAGATTTACCACAGACTTTGCAAAATTGTTTGTGTATGCAGTTGAAGAACGGTGCCTTTTGAACTAAAAGAAGAGAAAGTAGAACACAGTGAGAACTTAAATATTTATTAATTCTTTATTTTTACAGCATGAAAGTAAAATTAATATTTTAAGAAAGAGTAAGGGAAAAACTCAAAAAACTTTTCAGATCACAGCCTATATCTCGTATTCAAGAATCCCTGGAAGATAAAGGAAGCCATGTATGTTATGCAGCCTTTCCCAACTGTAAAAGGAGCATTTAACCATAAGAAATAGCATGTTTAGAATCAAAGCTCAAATAATTGGTTCAAATAACCAAAAGTTACAGGTAAATATGTACATAAACACAAACTCAAAACTGAGAGGATGCTTTACCATTAAAACTGCTTAACCTGATGAGTTACATATCAGACTGTAGTAGCCACATTCCAGCACTTTAATTATAAGACATGAAGCATTTACCATTTATCCTGTGCAAAGGCCTCCTTTTCCACAATAGCACAATAGTTTTGTGGCATGTAGCGGCAGTTATAGGAAAAGGCAAAACGGAAGAGGGAGCGCATGGTAAAAGTAAATATGTGTTTGAACGTGAACAGAGTTAAGCTGAATATCTTAAATTCTAACCTCAAATTTTTTTTATTTTTATAGACCTAGATGAGCTGTATTACAAGTTCTGCTTCATAATATCTGTGTATGTCATCACAAAGGTTTCATGTCTTTCCTCTTCCTGCCCCCTTCTGTTCCAAGTCAAATTTTTTAAAGATGCAGCTATGGTATCTAAACATGAACACATATGACTTGCAAGAAACTGTAAAATTATAAACTGATATTACATTACACACTATGATTTGCAGGTAGGAAAAATAGGTACTCAAAATTTCATAGAAAATGAATGTGAAATTGCTTAGAACAGGGGAAAAAACCTTTATCCAAAAACTTACTAATTCCAACTACCTGATAAAAGCAACAATTCTCATTGCCTCACAGTGCTCCAAGAAAGTGTCAGTTACTCTCTCTATGAAACACAGTACTTTTTTAAGTAAGAGGCCTTGGAATAAGACACTTTGCTGCAGGGGAAACCTGCCCTCTCCTGGTAAGCAGAAATCCTTAAAGGTACATTTAGTGATCTCCCAGACTGGCAGGCTGTGACTCCTAACTGTGAACACTACCCTAAGTCTATCCATTTTATTCTTTGAAAAAAATGATTATTTGCTTCTAAGTCACTGATAACTATGAAGCAAAAAATCTAGTGGTCTAAAGTTCTAACAAATAAAGCGTGAGAGGAGAAAACAGTGTCTGTAATAAGTGTAGTGAACACCTTCAAGCATGTTTGAAATACAAGAGGCCAGGGGAAAGAGACAGACATAGAAATATTTTCTCTTCATAAGGAACACCAAGCATAGACATCAAACAAAACAACAAAATGGCCATAACTTCAGTTACTGTGCCCTACTGCTAAATAACCGACACCTGAACACTCTTCAAGAAGTTTCCTACAAGGTGGCTTTACAAAGGAAAACAGCTCAAGAAATTTCTCTTTTACTTTTTCCACGCATTCAAATTCCCTCCACAGTGCTAAATTAACACAGATAAAACATAGTTTATGTTTTCCCAGACTACTTCTATGATTTATTAGAGAGAGGAGGGTACATTATCCATCTATTCAGCATTGGAACAAGTATGAATTACTGCATCCTGTTCTGATATCCCCTATTTCCTGCACTTAAATATCATCCTTCAGTGTTGACAACAGAGCCCACAACTCCATGAAGCACTGGGAAACTTGCAGCAGGGTGAGAGTCATAAAAAGCTCTTTACTTGCAAACAAAGTAAGTAAAAACTAATTTATCAGCAGAATTTGATTTTTAAAAAAAGAAGTCTTGCTAACAACAAATGTCACAGTCTGACTTTTGCCAGTTATCCCTCAAGACAAAAAGGGGGAAAAGTTGGACTTTCCACCCTCCATGCATTTTGTTTAATGACAAACACTTTCTGAATCAAACAAACAACTTACCTTGCACTCCATTATCACTCATATTTATAAATATGGAATAACCATGAAGAACAATCAGAGTTTTGTCTACATGTTTTGCTGCATTAAAATTTAGATTAGTAAAACTAAACGCAAAGTAACAAATTCTGACCTCTTTCTATATAACTTCAAAGATAGGATGTAATTTTTAGAACATTTAGTGTGTTTGTTCTGGACAAAAATGTTTTGTTGTTTTACTTTGTTGGTCATGGGCAAATTAATTTATCCATATGATACCAAACTGCTCCAGATTCACTTTGAATATATAATTGCCCCAGAAAATCTTAGGTAATATTAAGCTTCATTAGGTATTATGACCTATAGTGCATCTTACAGCACAAATATTAACAGCTGCTGATAAATAAAATCCTGGGCCTTTCAAAAGCAGTTGATGCAGCACAGTGCTGTACATTAGCCTACAAATGGAAGATAAATCAGTCACCAAAAGGAAGATTACTACTGAGTTGATATACTTACCATTTTATGGTCATTGACTATCATGAGTTCCAGATATTTCATTTCTTCAAAGACACCACGAGATAACTGACAAATCAAAGAAATGCTTTGAGAAATCATGAAGATGTAGTGATTTTCAAAAATAACTGCAGCTGATTTTTATTATATATAAAGATTAAATATATATTGTTTAGGGTATGTAAACCAGCAAACAATTGGATGAGAAATACAAGTAGGGTAAAGAATCATAGCTCCAGTAACTAAGAGAATCTGAGCCACATCACTAAGAAAGTTCAGGGTCTACTCTTTTTGCTTCAGTGCGGATAACACCACTGCTTCCCTGCTCCTTTCATTAAGTACTACCCACCACAGATTTAATGAGGAAGGAGATTGCTAAATACATAAGCACCTTCAAAAATATAGCGTGAATTGTGCAACCCAGTGAAGAAATACAGAATAATCTCCTTTAACTCAATTATATTCCTAACTGATACATACACATGTGAAGATCATGAGGACTGCCCATTTATGTTCTCCCAGTAACCCAGTTCTAGGTGTCCTCATTTGGATTTTTGATTTAATCATGCTACTTAATGAGCCAAGAGACAATAAAGTCAGATATCTACAAAGTAGCAAGAATTCATTCAAAATTCTTTATTCTCAAGCAGACAAAAAAAAATTCTGAAGTTCCACTACTGAATTTCAATTTAACTGATGCATAACACTGCTGTCACTTAAAGTTTATCAACTTTCTTCCAAATTTTCTACTTTTAAAGAAAAGTCTTGTTTTCTCATTTGGTAATTGTACTATGTGACAATATTAAGCTTCTAAAAATACTTGTTTCCTAAAGCCTATGTTCTCTTGACATTAAAAAATACAGAAATTAGTGAGTTTGGGTTTATAAATGGTCTTAACTTAGGGTTACACTTCTACTTACTGCTCTCTTTCTTCTCCTTCTCCTCAGCCACTGCAGTTCAGACAGAAAGGGCCATTCAGAACTAGAGTCAGTCTCTGTAAAAATTACAATTTAAAAATTTCATGGCATTATTTTAAACTACTTATGCACACTGTCCAAACCAAAAGTAGATTAAGATCACCAAAATCAGAACCACCCTTGCTATTCAAAAGCTTATTTTTAAAAAGATGCAAAATATATAAAAACCTCAAATAATTCAGAAATCTTAAAGCATGCAAGAGAGGAGAAGAAATTATAACCTGAGCTTAGAATATACATTTTCTTCCACCTCATTGCCTCAGTAACATTAATATCACTGATTAAATCCAGTGATTTTCAGAGGAAAGCTAAATACAGGTCTGTGGATGAAAATCTTGCAGCTGGCTTTTGAAAAATCTATATTCCATTGCAATAATTGTGAAGAAAAGGCAGATAAATATCGATTTTAAGATTTTCTATATAATCAGCAATTTTAGAAACACTGCTAACCTAATATTTAAATTTTCCAATTTATATGTACAATTATTTCCAATATTTAAAATAAGCAAAAACATACCGAGGTCCTGCAACTGCTTGGAAGCTTGTGTTCCGTAAGTTCTTTGGATGATATGTGGCCTACTTTTACTTTCCTAAAAATAAAAATATGTGAAATTTTCTTATAATTAATAACATCAAATGAAAGATGTGGCACTTCTTTCAGTATTTATCATTTTTATTATTTTTTCTATAAAATGCAAACAACTATAGTACTAATTTGGGATAGTACTAATTTGAAGCAATCTATCTACAATCCTGAGCAAATCATAGACCCTCTCTGCTTCAGCAAATTGACCAATCTACAAAAAAACCAAACCAAACTGCCACAGATGTCTTTGAGATTACCTTAAAAAGTCCTTCAAAAGCCTTAGCATTAGAGAATAAAGATCCCTTACGCCAATAAATCAAACTAGAATGTCTGTACCTGGTTGAAATCTTCCTTCCATAGATGAAAAGCAACTAATACTATTTATGAAAAAAAATCCTATCTAATTGTAGCAAATTGCAAGAAACCAGTCGATATACTATCCTAAAGAGGACCCTTTCACCTGTTTTAGTGGTGTATTCCACACTTTAAAGGGACAAGAATTTTAATGTGTATTTTCTTTAGAAGTCTGACATACCCCAAACTATCACATTTGAGTATCTACTCTAGAAAACAACTCCTTTCTTCCATAACACTTCCTCTGCAGAGCCTGCCAAAACAAGTGATTCTTCTCAAAGGGTAGGTTGCTACTGTTCTGTAACTTCCCTAAGAAATACAGAGCACACTGAAGGGCAATACCACATATATTTGTTAGATTTTGGGGGGCAGGAGAGGGAGTTTTATATAATATCTACTGTAGTTAATATTAATTAAGCTGAATAAAGTACATGCTGAAGGCTGTGTTCAAGATATTTATCTCACATACTACAATTTAGAAATGAGCCTTTGAAAGCTCTCTCTATTATTTTCAGTAGTTTTGAGAAAATTATGCATCTCATCTGTTTTCTTATTTAGAGTTCAACTTGAAACCTTGAGTTGGGAAATGGTATCTCACTTCTGTAACCAAAATTTTTGTTCCACTCACAATTTTTACTGAAATATCCCTCAGAGAAATATCCTAGTTTCCTTTGTTCACCCAAGCAACAAAATAAGTTTAGTCAAATTTTCTTCTTCCTCATATAAACATAATCTCCATGAATTTACTGCATCTGTGTTGTCCGTTTTTAGAATTGCAACATTTATGAACATGTGCTACATCACAGACACACAGCATGTACTGCTGTTCCTGGGGAGACTGATTCTTTTACAAGTAATATTTTCCCACATCTCTGAAGTTTCATTTATAGCCCAATAATTGACTGTCCAAATGATACTGAGTCCTCTGAATGCTGATCCAGGTTTTTGACAGTATTAGCCAATGATTTTGCAGACCTTTAATCAGACTATCATTTCAGCTTTCCAGTCACTAAAACATGTCAGTTCTGCAGCTTTAGTTATTTGTCACATACTAGACATATACTGCCATATACATACTAGAGCGAGACAAACTTGAGAACTGTGGCACAGCATCTGCAATATATCCTACAGACCAAGCAGGATAAAAACCTTAAGAATTCTCTGTCTCAACGTTGCAAAATCATTTCACTGAAAATCACTCAAATACTCGAATCATTCAGAAGTTAGAAATATACCTTGTTTTACTATTGTCTGTGAAATTATGTCAGCTGTATTAACAGCTAAAGTTTTAGAAACTGTTGTACACATTACAAACAAAAATAATAATAGCAAAATACTTGCATAAATGCAGTCCTATATGCTGGCCCAGCATAATCTTATCTTTGAATATGCTGGATCATAATCATTTAAGCTATACAATGATCACTGACTTAAGACATACAAAGTTTAAGATACCTAGATGTAATTTTCTACTTAATTGTGCTTTTTTGTGCAATCATGGCAGGCCAAAAGCAATCTGATGCAACTATTTAGAGAAGAATGTATAAATGAGTTCCAGAGATCCTTTCAATGAATTTATAAACACTTTAGTTCGAGTACTAGAGCAAATTGATGAATACTTTTTGATAGTCCATAACCATGTGCTATGGGAAACAGTTTTATTTCTCTGTTACCAGCATCTATATGACCAACAGCAAGTAGGAAAAAAAAGATTAAAGAAAAGCAGAGAAAAGTCGTAGATAAAACTACATATTTGCCACCTTAAACAAATTCAAATCAAGTGTTTTAAAATACTGTTCATTTTCATACGAGTGCATGAGAGCTATTATTCATTGATTTATTCTAGTACTCTGATTTGCTATTTCTTGAGCACTCTCCTGAATCAAATAAATTAGACAAAAAGAAACTTACTGCACTGTGGGTCAGATCCATCGGTTCTATCAAGTACAAATAACTACTATCTTCAAACATGCCACTAGAACATGGAGAATAAAAAGTGATATTTAGAATTACAAAGCAATCAGTTTGACTCCAGGATATGAATTTTGATATGACAAAACCAAACTCGGGGCTGAAAAACTGACCAATATTAAATATATATTCATTACTACCACATGTAGCTAAAGCCAAGATTGGGGGATTTTTAAGATACCTGGCACATTTTAATGGACTAACGCTAAATGTAATGGCAATGCAGTGATAAAGTACCAAAAGGGATAAAGATTTGACCTTGGAAAAGGGAAGTCCTATGACACCCCTGAGCATGCAAAATACAATCAACAGCTGAGTTGCACTTAGCAGTAACTAATGCTAATTTCTTGCAATTTTCCTTGTACAATCTAACAAAAAGATCCATTTTTCTATGACAGAATCCTACATGAATACTGAGCGTGCAAACTGCTGAAATATAATTCTTGTTTATCCTTTACCATAGTAAGTCACCTGGGGAAATATTTACCTGCAGTTACTGTATTCAAAAGTTTCATGAGACAGCATCAAAACACTAATTCCAATGATACTAATAAAAATTTCAAAACATCAAAAAATTTTTGAGCCTGTAGTGTTTCAGTTCCTCCCATATTAAGATATAATATATAAAAATAATAATTAGTTATAGCCTTGTTTAAAAAATGAGAACATGCACTTACTGAAGTCCATTACAAGTTGAAAGAGCAACTTTGGAATCCTTCACACCTCTGATATTTCCATGGTAGTAACAATGTTCTCCCCCCTAATAATTTTTAAAAACAATCACACACACAAAATGATCTTGATTTAATGTCTGTTGATTAAAACCAGTGCCAAAAAAAAAAAAAATCTAACAGTAACAATACACATTTACCTCATTATGTACATGTCTTTACTGTGTATCAGCAATAAGCTTAGGTAAACTAAAAATAAAAAGTATCCTCAAAAAATTTTATTAAAAATCCTGAAGTGATGTTGTCTCTCAGCCTTTGTTCGAAAAACCTGCTATTCATCATAAAAATATTTTTTAATTCTTGTGTCATGTCATCCAAACTCCAACATGCACATTAAACCCATTCTTTATGCAATTATTGTAACCTGAGAAGGTATAAGAATGCAAACACTTTGTCTATGACAGTATTATTTCCATTTTGCATCTTACTTAATGAGTTATTCAGATTCTGATTGAAATTCCTTACATGTTATTGTGTATAATTAAATCAAAGTACTTCACAGAAAGTAATCACTGTGTTTACCCTTCCATCAGTAAGAATGCATAAAACATGCTTTTTAACAGCTAAATTTGATTATGTTTCTCAAAGTTTTTTAAGATTTTTTTTCTTTAAAAATGATCATCTGAGTAAAGAAATTGCTGTTTGTTCTTCAGTCATTTTTGTAATTAATTACCTCTTTCTAGAAAATACAGTACTTCTCATTGAGATCTCATTTCTTTAGATCCGTATCAGGAAACAAAACAACCTTTTACTTAGGCCTAAAAAGTATTACAAGACACTACAAAAGACAGGACACAGTCATTATTTGACCTCCTACACAAATTGTGTGGGGTTTTGGGGTCTTTTTATTATCTGTAATGATGCCTTTTTACATATTAACATGACCTCAGGAGCTCTATTAGTGCTTCTAAATAAAGCAATTCAGAAAACATCCCCTAGGAAGTTTGGATCAAGTTACTGCAGCATGCAAAGGTACCCTATTTGCTGAATCTGAAGTTCTAATATAATTTTCCAGTCAGACTCATGATTCAGCAACCGCAGTGCTCAATGCTAGTGCTGCAGCTGACAATTGCATGAGCTTATCTAAATGCCAGAGGGAATTGTTTTCTTGCATCATTTAGCATTTTTGCCCATTCTGCAGAATATTGTGTCTTAATGGAACAACTTCCTTTGTATGTAACACGAAACTATTTTTCTTCTTCTTCAGAAGAAAACAAAACAGTATATTTCAGTAGCTACATTGCAATGGGATTGTTTCATTCTGTCCTAATCTGCCATATCTTATTTTGAGAGTCTCTACAGAAAGGGCAAAAATAATACACCAGACATCTAATACTTGGGCAAACAACAGTCCAGACCTTCTGAAGACATGAATACAAACAGAATGCTTGCTTGCCTCCACTCTAAATACAGACATAATTCACACATAATAAGTTTGCAAGAAATACTTGGCATTTCTACCAGATACAAAAAAAAATACTGCAAATGTAGTTTATAACCTTCCTAGGAACCTTCCAGTCCTCATTTTGTTACTACAAACAAATGAAAAGACTGATCTGGCTCCCTTAGGGCTGAACTACCTTGCAGAACTTTAATCTGGCTTTGGATCAATAGCCTATGGCACTGAATTCAATTTGGGAACTAGTCTAACAAACAAAATTAATTGGATGTCTAACAATATGCTGATTTTGTAATAGCTCCAGAGGTCAAATTTTCAGTTAAATCTTTCATTTTCTATTTCATGACTGTATAATTCTTGCAAACAAAAGTCACTGCAAGACTTCTGGGTTTGTTTAAATGTCTTACATTACCATTATTCTTTCTCCTTGCACTTGTGCTAAGGACATACAAATAATTAATGAAGACTAATCTGACAGTGACTTCAACCCCTCCACTTCCTATATTTCACATGATGTAATTAGCCTGGCAGTAATGGATAATCTTCACTACTACCACCTACAAATGCCTACTCCTCACCACAAAACACAGCTTTCCTTTTTTGTACAATTCCTCTTGTATTACTGAGATATCCGTACAAGATGAGATCACAGTTACCTTCTATGTGTGGAAAAACATGTCCAAAGTTTTTAAGTTTTACAAAACTTTTTTTTTAAAACATTTTATTGGCATTGTTCCGTCCAGAAGACAATTTAAGAACATGATACCTTAGAAAATTTTGGTTTTCCATCTTCATAGTGAATCTCCACATAATTGGAAGATAATAAGTCACTGTCAAAGAGAGGATAAATAAATATGAGAAAAATCTGAGTACTCTTTCTATTGCTATGGATAGGTTTGGAGGGTTTTGTTAGCATTTTCAAATAATTTTTATTTTCCTTGCACATTAGTATTAAAAAAAACAAAACAAGCCGTGTTCAGTAAATTGTTTGATGGTACACTGGAAGTCAGAGTGTGGTACAGAAGGAGGAATTCCATTCTGCAATCCCCTGTATTTTAGTTTTACAGTTAGATTAGCAGCCTTCTAAATATGCAAAAAAAAAAAGATGCCCCTTGGCTTTAAAGCTTTCCTTGCTGATAGTAAATGTATTTTAGTTCATCACCATTTTCAGATAGGTCTTACATTTTATCTAAAAGTGTAAATAGAGTGTATGTTAGGCTGAACAAATAAATACACCACTGTTATGAAGACAAAAGTGTATAATCACTTTCACAAAGTGCAAATAGTCGGGTTTTTTTCCAAAAGCAGTAATGTGCCTTAAAAGAAAACACACAATGCAGAACCCAAAACACATTCCACATTCCATACTTTCTTTTCTTAACCCTTTTTCTTACTTACACTTTTTATTTCAGATACCTTTCTCATTCTTATTTTCTTCCTAACTCTGGCAAGAAAATTTCTGAAGCATCACAAAAATTTTCCATAACGTGTAATTTACAGTTCTTTTTTTTTTTTTTTTTAACTAAGCTTAGCCACTTAGCCAGCCTGTACACATCCTGCAATAACCTCAGTGCCCCATTCACATCTCACCCTGTTACAATCAGGGTTGCAGCAAAATGCCCAGGGAGAGCAAAGCAATTAAAGATGTTAACTGGCCCCACCAAACATGCAAGATAAGCATTTTACTTAATGTCATCCAGAATTCCTAGCATTTTGAAGCCTCTAATGTACACTTCCAACTAAAAAAAAAAAAAGAGAAAAATTTAAAAAATCATTAATGGTTCTGATACTGGTACATATATCAAAACAAAAATACCATGGCTAAAAACAAAAAAACATCATTATGGAAGTCTGGTGTGGCAAAATAGCTCTGATGGGAATTTGTGACTAAAAACAACCTTTGATAATGGGTATTTCAAACTAAGATTAGGCTATTAGCAATCCTGATAACACTTCAACTCCAGGACTCCTGGCTCAACAAATCAATTCTTCATGCCATATTTATCAGGCACTGCTCTCATTAGACAGCATCCTGCAGAAGTCAGTTACCAGTGGTTCTCTTAGAAGTCCTCTCTCATGAAACTGACACAAGGCACTCTGGGCCTGCAAAACCAATGCTAATAGCCCTGAAAAATTGCTGAAGTCTAATAATTTGCCTTAAACATCACTGTGAAGGCATTATTAAAAATATATTTTTTTAAAGTGCAGATTTAAAAATAAATTCACTGGCATGAAATAATTTTAATTTTCTCTATTTGTGTCATAGTAAGCTATAAACTTTCTGCAGAAAATACAAATGCTGTATAAATAGTGAATCTTCCCAGAGTGTAGTATTCTTGGATTTTGGTTGAGCTTCTATTGTAACCCAGTTGGTTCCCTCATCTGCCAATCTTTTCCATTCCTTAGCTTCTCGTTACTTCCAACTGCTAAGGAATTCTCAGTTTGGGTAGTGTCCAAATACCGTGTCACACAGGATATCTAATATGGAATACTTATGATGGAATACTCCTATATGTATATACAGAAATACTAGAAGTACAAAGCAGGGATGCAGACAGTTTTCCAGTAGACGCTACACTTTTCTCATCACTGACTTTCCAACATGTATGGGGTCAGTGTGGCAAGATTTTGGTAGTGGAGGGGGCTATAGGAATGGCTCTCTGAGAAACTATTAGGAGCTTCCTCCATGTCCAACAGAGATGGTACCAGCCAGCTCCAAGATGGACCTTTGGGATCTGCAGGACACAAGGCACATCAATAAAATTCTCCTTGCTGAAGGAATCTCCTCCAAAGAAAATTAAGGCCTGCTGTTGGTGATATACTTCCCAAATGTCAGGCTACAAACAAAATGCAACTTTAATTTGTGAAGCACCCTTTCGGCAAATGTAACACAGTATCCACCACCTAGAAGTTGGAGTAGAAAATCTTTTATAAGACTTTTGAATTTCAAAGAATTGTTTCTCATGTGAGGCTGGACTAGAGTGTTTATCATCAGTTTTTGATCATTATTATGTTTTTAAGCTTGCCACATATAACCATCAAGGTCATGCAAGGGCATGTTTCTCTTAACATTTCCCTCAGGACAGCAAGAATTTTGAACACTCCACTGAAAAAAAAACAAAAAACAAAACAGTCAGCTGCTCCTTAAACTGTATGCCTCTACCTTGGCAAATACCTGATTTTTGTCAGGTACCTTATATCACTTTTTCTTATTTCAAGTATCTGCCTACACTAGCAAAACATCCAAAAGAACACCCTGCTTGCAATCATTGTGAAAGACAGGAAGTGTAAGGAAGTTTGTTCTACATCTTGCTGAACCTCCAGGAATAACAACAGATGTAAAACTATACATAAAACTTCTACTGCAAATTTCCCCTACAAAACTTCTACCTGTTATTAATGCTGACAAATATGACAAAAGACATAAGAAAGTACTAAAGGAAAAGGAAAAAAAATGCTTAACTAAAATATCTTTCAAACATTTTTTCCTACGCAAAAGACATACACAGAAGAGCCCTGTAATTTCACCAGGAGGTGTGATGGGGTTCTTTATGTAAGTGGCATCAAAAATAAAGGCCTAGAATACACTTATTAAGAGCTCATGTAGAAGTGCAATTGCCTGAGGAATGAGGCACAGAAATAATGCATAAACTAGGGGTCTCCAGAGCACAAAATAACTCTTCTTCCTTCATTATCACTTACAGAATGCCTAAATTTACCTCTGAAAGGCAGACCTGAGTTTTAGAAAATACATTTGCATCTCATGTACAATGGACTGTGTTTTGCCACCTTTGATCCATTTTGCTTAGGGCAGAAATGCACCCAGAACAGCAAATTTGATTTTCAATATGACAAGCACCAGAAACAGTGCAAGCTTTCACTGAAACAAATGTCAGTCATGATCACATCAGACAAAAGTCTATTTTGGTAGTGACCCAATGGTATGATCCTTTACAATGAACACATCAAGTTGCAACATGTTGAATGAACTCATGACAAAATAATTTGTCTGCTGTGTCCTTTTCTACAGTTCCTTCCACATTGTTTTGTTTATCTTGGATAACTGTTCTTATTAAGCTGTCTTGCTCCTTGGCTCTTCCATCTGAGTTACACTGAGAAATGCAAAATAAGCAGCAAAGGGATATGCCATTCCCTGTAGCTGCTGCCTTTGAAGGGATAGGCCAGCTGTTAAACCAAGGAGCAGATGCTTTCTGAAGAACTCACACCACTTCCCTGGCACATACTTCACTGCTGATGTTTTCATTAACAGGAGAGCTGCAGAGTAAAAAGTGGCTTACCTCAGCTGGCATCTAACTATCCTGATGAAGAGAATTGATTCGGGTAGGAAAAGGCTACGAAACAACTAAAAGATATCTCACATACAAGTAAGCAAATTAGCTTCCAGCAACCTAATAGACAGCCTGCAGAAAATTAGAGTACAGCAAGAATTACCTTTCTTGCTTACTTCTTAAATTATCTTTATACTAGCCAGGCAATAATTTATTAACTATTCTGAAATGTTTCAAGCTCAGTACCAGTGTCTGAGCAACCTAGTTTAGTTGAATTATTTAACAGAACACCCATCAGATGTTTTTGTCCATTTGACAGATATAGTTTAGTAGCACATAAAGATGGATAAACAGAGACCTTGATGCAGTATTTTTTTTAAGATGAACAAGGCACTGTCATCCAATGCAATGCCCATCTACAGCCTTGTTTATATTAGCAGTTTCAATTATATTCACAAGTTTTGTTGAACTCACTGTTCTTAAAGGAATTTCTTAAATTTCTAGCATACATTTACCTTAGTCTTTACTTGGCTGCTGTCTTCGAAGCTGCTCTGGCAGGAGTGTCTCCAAGGAATAAATATACTGCTAATAGTCATTATTTTTTAAAACAGAGCAAGGCTTTACTACTTTTTCTTATATTGTCTTGAAGGAGCTTTAAAAATCACAACATGATACTGTGGATCAAGAAATTGTGTTTACAAGTAATTAGCAGAAATAATTGATGATGCAAATGTATAGGTTAACTTTTTCGTAACTATGGAATCAAAGGAAGTCCTCACTCCCTTCTGCTATTAATGGCATAATGATTCTGTAAAAGTAAACAACACACTTACTTAAAAACCACTTCTTGCATGGTCCTGCTATTGTTTCTTGGTTTTGCTTCATTTTTCTTTGAGGTAGAAAAAAAGATGACCTAACCACAAATTTACAAACTGAAATTACTTAAGTGATCCTTAAGTAAGGATGGGGAATATGTCCCCAAAAAAGACTGACAGGAAAGCATGCAATAGAATGGTTTAGAATACTCATATAGAATGGTGCAGAAAATGCTGCATATTTTTTTCTGGATCAGTCTGTCTCTCACAGTGCAAGAAACCCTGAGTCAGTTCAAGATACTTCAGGAAACAAATTCATAATCCTTTCTCTAGCTATGTCCTGAACCTCTCTCTCTGGGAATGGAACATGCTGTATTTTATTGGCTACTTCAGCAAGCATTCTGAAGGCAGCCCTTTGAAGAATTCTTCAGAATATTAACAGTACGTTGGTCAGTTTCCACCATATTTTTGTTTACCATCATGCTGAAGACAATATCACTTTAAAAAGTGTTATGCACAAGGATATGAACACAAAAACAGCTAGACAATATTACAGAACATGAGTTCTATGTCATGGAAAACACTTCAGTGTAATTTGCTATGACAGAAGTTTCCTAGAAGAACAATCAACAACAAATATGTCATTTAAACAACTGCTCAAACTTACTCAATATTGCCTTTCAATCGATCCCTTTTCTTTCCTCATCAGCTCGGAAAACTTACCAG